TGTGGGTCAGGGCCTAGCAAGAGAGAGAGTGGGGACGGAGAATGGAGACAAGACAGGGAGTCTGATCAAGTTTCATCTCAAGTCTCGCCTCAAGTCTCACCTTTATTGAAAGGAAATCATGGGTATATATAAGCACAAGCAGGGGAACGCAGTTGAAGACACTTTACCACGTGCGCCTTGCAGTTGGGGGCATTAAACAACAAGACAAGATATGTAAGAAAAGCAAGATGTTTATCAGAGTGTGGTCAGCTGTTGTAGGCTGTTGAAAACAAGTCTCTTGTCAGGGTATATGGCTTGAGATGGCTGTAAAGATGATAGCTGCTTTTTGTTCAGAGTCGGCTCCTAATACCCATATAATTAAAATGGTATAAAAGCAAAAAGGAGGAGGGGGGATGGGATAGGAGGTTCTGGGCGGGGGATGTAGAAAGGGATGACATCCGAAACGTAAATAAATAAAATATCCAATAAAAACATTTTAAAAATTAAGAAATAAAGAATAAAGTAACTCTTCATGCTCTGTTCTCACTCTAGCCTTCTTTACCCCAGAAGTAGCCTACAGGGTGTGGTGTTAGTTCTTTTGTGTTACTGTGCCATTTTGGGGTAGACAGGAAGGATATGATAAAGCCAGTAATTCTGGACTTAACTCCTCTTGCTGTTGTGTGTGGGTTTGTTGTTTTCTCATTGCACCAGAGTATGACATAGCTTTCTGGAGCCCCAGCTATGAGCTGGGCAGACGTTCTGTGATTGTAATCACGTGCTGACAACACTAGGGATGTAAATTGGACTTCTGTACTCAATTTATTTTTTTAGTACTTTAATGAGTATATTTTAGAGTTTCCATTTTGTATGGAATTATATCTTCTTCAAATGCTGTAATCATGTAATCAACATCACCTAAAATAAAACTTGAATAAAATATTGAAACTCAAAGTGAAACAGAGATCAATAGCGGAAGAAACTCGAAGTTGCATCTGGTCTTCACACATATACATACATGCGTTGACACACACACAGCCACACAAGTAAATTATTTTTATAATAAGTTTCCAAGTTAGTATATGAATAAGATTAGACAGAAAAAACATTCATTTGAAAAACTTAATTTTTAAACTTATTTCCTTATTTTTACTCTTTATTTAGTGTGTGGTGAGGGATCCAAGCCATGGTGTGTAAGTGGAAATCAGAGGACAGCTTGTGTAAGTCTGTTCTCTTCCACCACGTGTTTCCCAGGGATAGGATCTAGGGCATCACAGAGCAAGAGCCTTGAGCCATCTCACTGTCTCCCCTCCCAAAGTTTTTGGGGTCTTTTTACATATTGTTTAAACTAATTTTTCCATATTCTATATGAAAAAAAGACAAGAATCAGGTAGGAAAAGCATTTAGCATATAGGGATATTTGTGTGGATGTAATGTTTCTTTTGGGAGGTGATAAAATGTTTTCAAAATTAAGTTGCTGGTTTAACTCAGTGAAAAAAACTAAAGATTATTAAATTGTATATATATATTATATACACATAGATATTAATATATATGTATATATATGTATATATACATGTGTGTACATATATATATATATATATATATATATATATATATATATACACATACATACGCACACATATATATGTATATTTATTTTCGAGACAGGGTTTCTCTGTGTAGCCCTGGCTGCCCTGGAACTTACTCTGTAGACCAGGCTGGCCTCAAACTTAGAAATCAGCCTTGCTCTGCCTCGCCAGTGCTGGGATTAAAGGTGTGCGCCACCACTGCTCGGTGCATCACATATATTTAAAGGATAAATATTAAAGTATGTGAGGTATATCTCAATAAAGCTAATTTTAATTAGCTTTAATTTTAATGTTAGTTTGTATAGGCACATCTGTTGCGGTTACTGACTTTTCCAGTCACTTAATGGGAAATTAGGTGAGCAAACACAAGTCAGAGAGCCCCTAGATCTGGTTGAACTTTAGGGGATCTTAATGGCCTAGAAGTTGCTAAATGATGTACATTAAAGTAATAGTACTGAAAGATTGACTATTTTATTCTCATTCAAGATATATCACAAAGTGATTGTGTTATGCTGGAAGGTGTAGGCTGAACTCAGCAGGTGAGTAAGGGAGAAAAAACACAAACCTTTTGAATTTTTGAGGAATTTTGTCTTTAATAAAGGGTTAGAGGACTTCTTTGTTTTTTGAGATAGGGTCTTGCTGTGGATCCCAGGCTGGCCTCCGACTCATCACCCTTTGCCTTAGCCTCCTACTAAGAATGTAATAATACCATACATAGGTCCTTTAAACATATTTTGTAGACACCACTGCTTATGTTTTTTTTTTTTTTTTTTTTGGTTCTCGAGACAGGGTTTCTCTGTGTAGCCCTGGCTGTCCTGGAACTCACGCTGTAGACCAGGCTAGCCTCGAACTCTCGAACTCAGAAATCCGCCTGCCTCTGCCTCCCAAGTGCTGGGATTAAAGGCGTGCGCCACCACCGCCCGGCTCACTGCTTATGTTTATCTACTCTGGATCTTATTAAACAGGTCCTCTGTTTCTGGTACTTCAGAGTCATCCTACAGAAAATTTGTGCTATTTGGACTTAAAGGATAACCAGGGAAGGCCATACAGTTTTTTAACTTCAGACAGTAGCTTAGTAGCTATGCATATAGATTTATTAATAACTTTCCCATTTGCTACCTTCCGAAGTTAGTAACACATCTTGACTAGTCCCCTGTATTCAGAAAGAAGTACAATGGATCTATTTTTTCCTGATATCTTCTTCCAAGTTATTTTCATACAAGTGTCATAAGCAAAAACTCTTGTCATAGATTTTTACACAACTTTGTCTTAATCTATTTCCCGAACAGCCCTGTTACTGAGCCTTGCCCTAAGGTTTCTGGCACGGGTTTAATGCTGATTAATCCTCAAACAATGTTAGGACAATAAAGAATCAACAAAACTGGTTTGTACACAGCCCAGCTACAGTTGTTGAAGCTCTGGCACATGAAAGATCATATATTATTTACCAAGATGAGGTTAAATTAGCATAGCATGAACAGGAGAAAAGAAAGGGGAAAGTGAGGTAGAGAGGAGCAGGCTGTAATGGTCAATTATGATGTAGCAGAGTTATTAAATAATGTATCTGAATCTAATGGAATAGAAAGGTTGAGAGAATACTTTATTCAGGTGATCTTATGTCACCTTGGAATAATAAGAAGATAATATATAGTTCTGAAGGCATAACTAAAAGTCCCGTGGAAGATGTTTGCTAATAATTCTAGTAAAAATGACACCTTTGAATAATACTTCAACATGCAGTGATGCTATTTTAGATACTCTTCTTTACCTATTATGTTTTGAGTATGGGCCTGACATAATGGTATAAGAGGGACATTTAATGGAATAGAACTCTGTCTTTGGGTTTCTGGAGACTTCAACCCATACTTGAAGACCCGATGTAGAATCTCTTATATGCTGTATGGAAGCATCACTTGTTAATAAAAAAAGGCTATGGCCAATAATGAGCTGAGGTAGAATTGGAAGGTGGGACATCCAGTAGAGAGAGAGGAATTCTGGGAAAAAGGTGGGAGAGGTTCGCCCTGGAGCTCTGGAGACAGTCACATGAAACTGAAGGAGACTAACCATGTGGAAGACATAAGAGTAGTTTAAATGGGTTATATAAGTAATGGGCTAGTTGGAGAATAAGCTGAAGCTTATTAATAAATGGCCTAAGAATTTATTAATAAATTATTAGTCTCAGAGTTGTTATTCTGGGAACAAAGAAGAAGATAGAAAAGCTCATAGCTACAATACAGAGTTTTTTCCTATTTATTTATTTATTCATTCATTCATTCATTCATTCATTCACTTTATATCCCAATATCAGCACCCCTGTCCTAGTTCCCTAACACAGCTCCTTTCCCCAACTCCCTCCTCCCCTTCTCCTCTGAGAAGGAGGAGGCTCACTGTGGGTATTACCCCACCCTGATACATCAAGTCCTTGCAAGACTAGATATATCCTCTCCCACTGAAGCAAGACTTCAGTTAGGGGAACAGGATCTACAGGCAGACAATAGAGTCAGGGACAGCCTCCACTCCAGTTGTTGGGGGACCCATATGAAGACCAAGCTGCACATCTGCTACATATATCCGGTGAGTGAGGGGAGCTAGGTTCAGCCCATGCTCACTCTTTGGCTGGTGGTTCAGTCTCTGGGAGCCCCCAGGTTATTTGACTCTGTTGGTCTTCCTCTTTGTCAACCCAGACTTCTAACTCCTACAATACAAGGTGGAGTTGAGAGATGGAAGCCCCGTCTGGATTTTCTTAGTTTTTGCCTAGTGTTCTTTTTCTCTTAGAGGATCATTGTGCTGTTTTGCATTTAGTTGTCATATCTTCTGAAGCTCCTCTTGGCTGTGACAGTTTCTCAGGCTTTGTTGTCTGGTTTCCTTGATAGTTTTGGTGAGTACTTACCAGGTATAAACCATTCCTCTTGAAACGTGGTGTTTTGCTCCTGAGACTAGATTTATGGAGTTATATGTCCAGCGCATTATTTGATCTTATAAGGAAATCTCAAACTGTCTGTCACACTTGCAGTAACTGAGAGCTCTTGTCATTCAACATGGTTGTTAGCATCTTGGGAGAGTAGTTCTTGGGCCACACCCATTGTAGTAGGTAGCAGTGCTCACAATACAGTTTATACAACTCATTTAGTTTTATCATCATACTTTGTTAGCTTTCTCTTGATATTTCTCTGAAATTAATATTAAAATGCATGTACTTTTCCTTCATAAAACTATCTGTTACAAATAACTAACTAGTATTTATTGTGTTAAAATTACTCATGTTCTTTGCTTGTAAGCTACATATCACTAATGTTAAGCTATGTGCTTGACCTGAATGTCTCAAATTTAATTGCATTTGTTTAATTTTTTATTCTCATTTCCATTCTTCAATATCATTTAGTTTGTTTTTGCTTTGTTCATAAAGATTTTTGTTTCTATTACATTATGTAGTTTTGTACCAATGGCTAGAAGCAGATCGTCATGGCAAGAGCCAAGATACTGCAAATTCAACTTCAGGTAAAAATAGTTTTAAAATGAATTGGCGTATTAGAAATCATAATTTTAATTCACCCCACATCCTAATATGAATGTTTCTTAAATTTGCTAAGACAAAATTATAGATACTTGTATTTTGTTCTCTCATCTACATCTTAATTTTCATAAAGACCTCATTTGCTTCAAGCCTTGAAAAAAAATGTATTTGCCAGTCTAAGGTGTCTTGGCATGTATTTTATATTTTCTTGGAGGAGAGGTTTGATTACAGCTTAAATTTACTATATTACGTGGCAATATTGTTTAAAATTAGGGCTGTATATAGTTATAGCAAAGATGTGAACATTGTGACTATCTTTTGGCAGTGGTAAAAACAGGGCCTTACAAGTATATAAATACTTGAAGAAATTTACAGTCCTCATTTGTTTCAGGACTATATTTAAAAAGTGAATTTTCACTTAAGGATGTTTATATACAGTTTCTATTTCATGTGAATCCAAAATCTCAAACCCAGTCATTTTTTCTGTTTAGTCCTAGCAATAAATTCTGAGTTAATGACATAAAAATATGCATTCAAAATGAAAAGAGTAGGTTGTTCTCCTAGCTTCTATGTCCCTAAGGTAATTATGGAACTTTTTTCCCTCTCCCACAGATGTTAATAAGAATAGAATAGTTACATTCTCTCATTTCTAAATTCTTACCAGTGGTATCAGATTCTTTCCCTAATTTATTTCAAAATAATATTTGCCAAGACATCTTTATATACTGCAGAGATCTTTCTTGTTGTTCTTTTTTTTTTTTTTCTTTTAAACAATATAAGAGAACTGGTGATGGTATTGCTAGGCGCTGGGGTGGTGATAGAGTTAAGAGTGGTGGTGGTGTCGAGGTAGTGGTGGTAGAAGTGTTAATAGTGGCGTAATAACAGTGGCGGTGGTGGCGGTGGCGGTGGTGGTGGTGGCGGCTATGGTGGTGGTGGCGGTGATAGAGGATACATGTTGCTGTTTATATGTTTTGTGTTTTTGTGAAATTGTGTATGGAAGTAAATTGGTTGTACCTTGAGAAGGTTGGTGTTCCACAGGCAACAGAACAATTATATTAAAAATGGCATTGTAATGACTTCTCTGATTTATCTTCTATCCCATTTATAACTTGATATCTGAATGAAGATGTTGCTATTTTAACCATGCACAGGCAGGAATTCACTAAAAGGTAAGTATTACACGTAGCTGTATCCTGGGTTATATGCTGTTTTTCTGTTCCTGTGGTATTTTGCATTTTACTTATTATAGATAAAAGTAGTTATCTGGGTCTTAGATTGAGGGCCAAAGAGAGGGTTCCTTAGAGTTTTGCTATGACAATAGCTAAGTCAGTAGCATAGGGCTTTTTGTTTGTTTTTTGAGGCAAGATTCCTTTAATTAGTCCTGGGTGTCCTGGAATTCACTATGTAGACCAGGCTGGCCTCAAACTCACAGAAAGGTGTGCACTACCATTCCCAGCCTAGTAGCATAGATTTTTTAGAACCACAGGAACTTTTTCTTGTGTGTTTATTTATTTATGGGCATCCCCCGCTACATAAGGTAAAGTGAAATCTAATCTCTTTTTTAAGTAAGAAATATAAATTATTTTAGTGTTCACATGAACATCAAGTATCAGCTTAAGAGCATCATTTTTCCAGAAGCGAACAGTTTTGAATCCTGAATCCTGGGACGCTCTGTCACACAGACTCATAGATAATGTAATATTTATCTACATGACTTTTGGTCATTAGGTAATCTAGTAGCAAAGCATAGAAATTGATAAATTTGTTAAAAGAGCATTTGTTTGTCTGTTTATTTATTGAGAAAGGACTCAGCTTTCTAGCCCAGGCTGGCCTTAGTGAGCCTTGTGCCTCTATGTCTCAACTGCTTAGTTTACAGACATTGCCTCTGCATCTCAACTGCTTAGATTACAGACATGAGAAACCACATCTAGTTTTGGCTGTCTTTAACAGTTTCTCTCCTGAAAGTGAAAGCTCTCAACTCTTAGAATATAGAGCTACCAACTAGAAACATACAGAGCTGTGGTACTTGGCTAAGTAAATCAAGAGACCCCCCAAAGGAAAATGATCATTTCTCAGGGACACCAATTAGAAGCCATAGTTTAGTTGCTTTCTGCAAATATTAAATTAAGTTCTTATATAGCTAATATTGTAGTTTCCAGCAAGATTTTAGTGTGTAACAGTTCCCTTCTGTGATTTTTAAAAAACTTTTACACAATTCAAAGCTGTTAGGATATATCTTTTCATATTTTTACTCCAAGTGGAAATTGAGTATGTCTAGCAAGATGGCAGTGTCACTTCTAAGTCTGATTGCATTGTGATACCTTTAATTGTGCAAATACTGATAAATTACATTGATATATAACTACAGTTTGTACTTAATTAGAACTTAAAAGTAGAACTTAAAAAGTGAGTTCCAGAACAGCCAGAGCTGTATAATAGTCTCAAAAAAGATGGATGGATGAATGGATGGATGGATGGATGGAAGGAAGGAAGGAAGGAAGGAAGGAAGGAAAAGGAAGGAAGAAAGGAAGGAAGGAAGGAAGGAAGAAAGAAAGAAAGAAAGAAAGAAAGAAAGAAAGAAAGAAAGAAAGAAAGAAAAAAAAATAAATGATGGAGTTTCTTTGAGCTCTTCTAACCCCTTGATACCAACTTTTTGACACTGGATGTTTAAAACAGATCCATCAGCATCAAGCTATTTTATAAAACTAAGGTATTTGGGAGTAACAAGTCTTATGAAATTTAATTTGGGCTGGGCAGTGGTGGCGCATGCCTTTAATCCCAGCACTTGGGAGGCAGAGGCAGGCCTGGTCTACAGAGTGAGTTCCAGGACAGCCCGGGCTATAAAGAGAAACCCTGTCCCAAAAAACAAAAACAAGACAAAACAAAAAAAGAAAAAAAAAAAGAAATTTAATTTGGGTCTCAAAAAACCAAAAAAATAAAAATAAAATAAAAAAGAAAAAGAAAAAAGAAAATTAATTTGGTCAAGGAAATAAAAAACAAATTTGACAACTCTCACAGAATTTTTATTGTGGGTGGTGGTTTTGAGACAGGTTTTCTCTGTGTATCCCTGGACATCTTGGAACTCATGCTGTAGACCAGGCTGGTCTTGAACTCAGAGATTCACCTCCCTCGCCTCCTAAGTGCTAGGATTAAAGGTGTGTGCCACCACCACCCAGCATGAATATTACATATCTATATGTATATATAGATACATGTATGTATGTATGTATGTATGTACACATGTATATGTAAATACACATATATAATATAGACTAGAGATTTGCCAGGTGGTAACTTGGGCATAGAATTACTTCTTTAAAAAGTTAATGTGTTTAGTGTATTTTTCCACTAGATAGTCCCAGCAATGATGTTTTTGATATTGCTGATTCAGTCATTGAAAACCTGTATCTGTATGCCAGTTTTGTGGCAATGTAAACAAAGTTGTCTCCTCTGCATTGCAGAGTTGAGTTTGTGTGTAAAACTTCAATCTCATAACCTTTAGTTTAAACTACTTCCATGAAATGTTTTTATATAAATTTTCAATCATCATATGTTGATGTGGGTGTAGTAATTATATGACACCAATGATATTAGTGGTTTTATTTTATTTTTAAAATTTCTAAGTGCAGGTTTCTTTTTGTCTTTTATACTTTTCATTTATTTTTCTTTTGTTTTGAGACAGTCTTACTGTATAACCTTGACTAGCTTGAGATGGGACTCACTTTATAGAATTGACAGAGATCCACCTGTGTCTGCCTCCTGAGTTCAGCCATTTTTATTGATAGTTTTCCAGTTGACAAATATTTTTCAACTAAGGTTGTTGAATATAATCAGTAAATATATATATATATATATACACACACACACACACACACACACACACACACACACACACATATATATGCCGGGCATGGTGGTACATACCTTTAATCCCAGTACTCAGGAGTCAGAGGCAGGTGGATTTCTGAGTTTGAGGCCTTGGTTTATAGAGCAAGTTCCAAAACAGCCAGGGCTACACAGAGAAACTCTATCTTTAATAATTATGATAATAATATAATAATAATTTTAAAATTATGTCTTTTTAAATTCCAGTTATTAATTGATTATTAATTATCTATTGTAGGTGAAAATTTTGACCAGAGTCCTTTGAGAAGAACATTCAAATCCAAAGTCCTGGCCCACTATCCTCAGAACATAGAATGGAACCCTTTTGATCAAGATGCAGTGAACATGGTATATATTTTTCTTTTTCTTTCCATTTTTTTTAGCATTGCTTTTAGTTTATTAAAATATAAATGATAAATGTATTATTTAACTTAATTAATCTTTTAAATTATATGAGAAATAGTATTTTAAGATTTTATTTTTTTTAGTGTGTGTATGTGTGTCTGTTTTTTTGTATGCTACATAGAAGTAAGTACCCAAAGAGACCAGAAGAGGGCATCAGATCCCCTGAAGCCAGAGCTAGAGGGGGTTGAGAGCCACTTAATGTGGCTGTGGGTGTTGGGAACAAAAACTCAGGTCCTTTGGAAGAACATCAAATGCTCTTAAACACAAAGCCATCTCTCTACAGAACCCTAGAAATATAATATTGTCTATCTTGCAGATGGGGAAATTGAGTCTCCGAGAAGATACTCAGATTTCCCACAGCCGTTATCACAGTATCTTTTTTTTTTTTCTTTTTTTTTTTTTTAATATTTATTTATTTATTGTATTGATGAGTACACTGTAGCTGTCTTCAGACACACCAGAAGAGGGCATCCAATCTCATTACGGATGGTTGTGAGCCACCATGTGGTTGCTGGGATTTGAACTCAGGACCTCTGGAAGAGCAGTCAGTGCTCTTAACCGCTGAGCCATCTCTCCAGCCCCACAGTATCTTACTTGTTCGTAATATACAACAGAACCTCAAGTCCATTTTATTTCCTACTATCAATCTGTGTTTGGGTTTGATGCTTTAAACTATGATAACCACTTTGATTGAGGGAAGGAGAATAATATGTTTCTGTATATCAAGGAATAACGTATACTGGGCTTATATTTTATCATTTTCAGACATTATGAAGATGGAAAGGAACTTTAAAACTATCTGTTTGTTTGTATATATTTGGGTTCAGTTGTGTGGAGATCAGAGGACAACTTGTAAGAGTTGATGTCTAAATGCATCATTTAAAGATTGCTAGAAATTTGTTTATTAAAGCACTTGAATCATTGTAATATACTACCCAGTAGTGATTAAAATTTCTCTGGGCAGCAAGCAGGATGGCTCGATAGGTAACTGATGACATGTGTTTGATTCTCAAATCTCACTTTAGAAGGAGAAAACCAACTCCTGAAAGTTGTTCTCTGACTTCAAAGCACATATACCTACTTAACCAATACCCCACACACCATATGTGTATGCACACAAAAAGTAACAATAAATATAATCTTTAAATAAATGTTTTCTTTGAGATTCCTGGGAAGGAGGAAGGTAATAGATTTGTTGGTTTGTTGTTTTTGTGTGTGTGTGTTTTGTTTTGTTTTGTTTCGTTTTTCAGCGTTCTATGAAGTATTCTGTTTGGTAGTACTTTAGACCTTCGTTACCTCTATAACAAACAATTCAAGAGACCCAACATGAACAAATAAGAGATTAGACAAGGTGGACACAGAAACTACTGATGGCAGGTTGAGATCTGTTATAAGTGCAGTTCTTGAGAATTTCAAAGGTAGACCCCCCCCAAAAAAAAAAAAACATAAAAGATTCTATTATTTCCTGATTGTAAGGGAAAGAAGTTATTTGGTAGATGCCTGCTAGGTTGTTTTCAGATATGCATTGTCTTAGGGTGTTGCTGCTGTGAAGAGATACCATAACCATGGCAACTCTTAGGAAGGAAAACATTTTATTGGGGCTGGCTTACAGTTCAGAGGTTCAGTCCATTATTGTCATGACGGGAAGCAATAGCAGCATGCAGGCTGGCATGGTGCTAGAGATGGAGCTGAGAGTTTTTCATCTTGATTGCCAGGCAGCAAGGAGAGACTGTGTTCCACACAGGGTGTAGCTTGAGCATAGGAGACCTCAAAGCCTGCTCCCACAGTTACACACTTTCTCCAACAAGGCCACATCTCCTAATAGTACCACTCCCTATGTGCCAGGCATTCAGACACATGAGTCTGTGGGGGCCATACCTATTCAAACCACCACATGCAATATGATGATTAATCTTTCATTGTCAACTTGCCTGGATTTAGAATAGCCTATGAGACAAACCACCCTGGTCTACAGAGCAAGTTCCAGGACAGCTAGGACTACACAGAGAAACCCTGTCTCAAACAAACAACAAATAAACAACCAACAAACTAAAGTGTGGCACTTTGGATTTCATAGGAATAAAATAAGTGGTTTTTTAGCAAGTTATGTTAAACATAACTATTCTATTTTGTATGTCTAAATTAAAAGGTTTTTGTTTGTTTGTTTGTTTGTTTGTTTTTGCGGGATTGGGAGCAGGTTGAGACAGAGTTTCTCTATGTAGCTCTGGCTTTCTTGTAACTCACTATATAGACCAAGCTGATCTCAAACTCAGAGGGATTTGCTTGCTTCTACCTACTGAGTGCTGGGATTAGAGGAGTGCACAACCATGTCAGGCTAAAATAAATTATAAATTATATTCAGGTAATTTCAAGTATAGTAACAATTATAAAGTTCTTTGTAATCTATAAATTTACTATTGTCTTGTTTGGTTGATTGGTTTTGTTTTTTTAAAACAGGATCTCATAGAGTCCCAGGCTGTCCTTAGTTTATTATAGAAACACAGATGGCCTTTAACTTCTGTTTTTTTGTTTGTTTGTTTGGTTTGGTTTGGTTTTTGCTTCTACCTCCTGGACACTGAGGTTATTTGTGTGCGTGCGTGCATGTATGCAGGTGCCTATGTAGGCCAGAATAGGGCATGGTATCCCCAGACACTAGAGTTACATGTGGTTGTGAGAGGTCTGATTTGGATACTGAAACTGAAGTGTTCTCTGCAAAAACAATAAATGCCCTAATTCTTTGAGCCATCTCTCTAGCCCTCAGATTTTTCATACTATTATTCAGAGACATAAAGGTCGAAAACTACATGGCATTGAAAAGAGCCAAGACAATGTCTACTTACTTAACAGAGAACTTTACACAGAAACAAAGCACATCCATGCACTTTAAGTCCTCAGAGACAGAAGTTCGTATTTTCTCTTATGGATGAGGAGAGATGCTTCCTCTCACCATGTTCCCTAGGATCCCAGCCACAGGAGCTTTGCTTCTTGTCCCCCTGAAATAGCATTCATATTGAGATACAGGTAAAGTAATCAAGTAGTCAAGGTTTGTTTTGCCCATTGCCATCTTCTGCAGCTACACTTTGTTTGAACCTCTGCTCAGCCCTGACCACTGTCACCAACATTGAGTGGAAGTATGTGTATATGGATGTGCTCATGCATGTGAGGACAGCTAATAAGAGTTGGGTCTCAGCCGGGCAGTGGTGGCACATGCCTTTAATCCCAGCACTTGGGAGGCAGAGGCAGGTGGATTTCTGAGTTCGAGGCCAGCCTGGTCTACAGAGTGAGTTCCAGGACAGCCAGGGCTACACAGAGAAGCCCTGTCTCAAAAAGAAAAAAAAAAAAAGAAAGAAAGAAAAAAAAAAGTTGGGTCTCTCTTTCCACCTTTATATGAGTTCCAGGGATCAGAAGAAACTCAGGCCACTAGCTAAGCTATCTTGCCAGCATAGCTCGAATGTAATCTTATCACTGGGGAGAATGAGCAAGAAGATGAGGAAATCAAGGGCATCTTCAGCTGTATATTAATCGTATTACTATGAGTGGCTTATAAGGGCTTATAAGGGTCTGGAGTTCCAGCTGAGGGTTTCATGCATGCTAGACAAGCACTCTACCAATTGAACTATATCTGAACCCTGGTTTTGTTATTTCTAGAATCTCACTTTGTAGCCCAGACTAGCCTTAGACTCTCAGTGATTTTTCCTGCTTAAGCCACCCAGGTGTAGTCCATCATTCCTGGCTAGCATTCAGAGATTTGGCATTAAAATTAACTTTAGGGGCTAAATAGATGGTTTAGCAGTTAAGAGGACTTGATACTCTTGTAGAGGACCCAAGTTCAACTGTAGACACTACATGGCAGCTCACAACTATCTTTAACTCTAGTTCCAGGGGATTTGAGCCCTCTTTTGAACTCCTCAGGCACCAAGAACAGACATGTTACACATATGTACATACAGACAGAACACTCATGCACTGTAAATAAATTCAATGAGTAAATAATCAGTAAATAAATAGATTAAAATTTATTTTAATATGAGCTAGTGTGTTTCAATACAATAGTAGTAGATAAGATTCTAATTTAGTCATCATTAGGAGACTGCCCATATCCCTAACATTGCAGCTATTGCTGCATTGTCATTGATGTCTCCAAAGCAAGATGTCCAAAACTGAATTCACATTTCTGTCTATTACAACCATCTAACATACTGCCTAAACCAAAACACTCTATATCTCCCTTAAAAATTTAACTTTCCTACCTCTTCTGTATATAGTCAGTTGTCTGTTTCTCTTGGTTTCTATATACTATCTTGGTCTAAGACCATCAAGATCTCTTACTTGGATTTATTAATTACTGTCTAATTGGCTTCTGCTCTTGTCTATTCTATTCTTCCATTAGCTTCTGCTGATGCCTCTCTTCATTTGACTCTTCTTCCTATAGTAAATTATTATTATTATTTACAAAAGATTTATTATACATCCAGTGAGATAGCTCAGCAGATAAAGCTACTTACCACCAGACAATTCAGCACCAAACAGTCCCCAGAACCTGAATTATAGAGGGATAGAATCAATTTACAAAAATTACCCTCTGACTTATACATATACACAATAGCATGTATGTCCATATGTACATACATACATACATGTTTTTAAAGTATTTATTTATTGATGTATATATCTGTGTGAATATGTGAGTGCCAGTGCCTGTGGTATCCAGAGGAATAGGATCCCCTGGAACTCAAGTTACAAGCAATTGTGAGCTTCTTGACATGGGTACTGGGAACCAAACTCTGATCCTCTGCAAGAACACCTTTCTTTTTCTTTTTTTCTTTTTTTCTTTTTTTCTTTTTTTCTTTTTTTTTTTTTTTTTTGTTTTTTTTTTTTTCGAGACAGGGTTTCTCTGTGTAGCCCTGGCTGTCCTGGAACTCACTCTGTAGACCAGGCTGACCTCGAACTCAGAAATCCACCTGCCTCTGCCTCCCAAGTGCTGGGATTAAAAGCGTGCACCACCCCCGCCCGGCTGCAAGAACACTATTAATGGCTTAATGACGAAGCCATGTCTCCAGCACCAATGATAAATTCTTATTGATTCTTAAGATTTCATTTTAGATTGGATGTTCTTAGAGAAGGTGTCCCTTTAAACCACCTTCTTAACAGGTTCCTTACTATCCTATACCTTTTTATAATACCTGTCCCAGTTGCAGTTAAATAATTAACATAGTTAGGATTCAAATCTATATCTCTTGTTGTAATGTAGACATCACAAGGGACAATGATAGTTTCACTTAGAGGCCTACCCACAGCCACATGGCACAGCCTGCGGTGCCACCATGATGAGCAAGTATGTGGGAGAGAAATGGGAGAGAAAGAGAAGTGGAACGGCTTGTGCTCTGTGAAGACAGGTGGAACTGGAAACGTGAGAGTGGTGAGGAACAGCCTGATGGGAGGAGCCTGCACTGCCACCTGAGGCCATGGCAATGTCCCTCGCCTGGGGACCCTGTTGATGTCTAAATTCTGCAGAGAGCTGACCCTTCCCCTCTCTGGCTTCAGCATTCCAGTGAGCTGGCCCCACCCCTCATTGGGACAGTGCTGGAGAGCTGGCCTCAGTGGTGTGGGTGTGAAAAAGCTGGTCCCAATGGTGTAAACATGAGAGAACCAGTCTGCTCTTTGCTGGCTGCCACAGGCAGGAGAGCTGGCTCTGGTGGCACCGGCACAAGAGAGCTGGCAGGCTGACCAGCTCTGCTGCCAGCCAGGCCCAGATCCAGGACTTTTGAGTTGACCCACCCCAACATCTACTTCATCTGTGAACCTCTGAAGTGTGTGAAAAGGCTTGCCCTACAAATCCAAAGCTACAGAATCTCCATGGCACAGGGGAACAACAGGATAACCAAGAGGAGTCTCGGTGAGGATCCAGTATTGAGAGTGTAGCAGAATTCAGAGGCCTGGAACCAGACCAATAATTCATTGCAATGAACATTTGCAAGTAAAGTTATATGGGCAAAAGTTGTATGTATATACTCCGTGATACATCGATTTTTTTTTCTTTTTTTAATTATTTTTTATTTTATTTTTTGATTTCTTTTGTGGGGGAGATTGCAAGGGCAGAGAATAGATATGAAGGGACAAGGAGATGAGTAGGATTGAGGTGCATGATGAGAAGTTCACAAAGAATCACTAAAGTTTTAAAAAATAGACTCTCTTATTCCTTGCTAGAACCCTAACTTAACACATAGTAGTAGATTCTCACACACTAAGTGAGATGATCCTGTTTACTTATAATGCTTCTCTTCCCTGTCTTTGCCTTCAGGGGCTTCCTAGTACAAAGCCACATCCGAAGCTACAGCCCGTAGCAGCTTAGTTTATGTCTGTCTTTCCTACTAGACCATGAAATCTCTTAAGGAAAGAATTATTTTCATATTTCTCTTCTAAGTCTGGATGCAATACACAGGATAAAACAATGGTTTACTAAAGAAAGCAGGAGAAGGAAGGAGAGCTACGTGAGCTGTTCCATTGGGTTTCCCGAATAGTTTCTCTTTCATTGGCAAATGAGAAAAAGAAATATGGAATATTAGAATTATAGAATATGGAAAAGGGACATGCTAAAACTCAAGCCATAATTGTAATCCCTGTACTTGAGAAATTCAAGCAGTTTGGTTCATTATCATCCTCATCTACTCATAAATTAATGTCTGGCCTGGGCTACTCAAGAAGCCAGCCAGCTAAATAAATAAATAAATAAATAAATAAATAAATAAATAAATTTGATAAAAATTGTAGCCAAAGTACCTGGAAGGGGAGATAATTAAGGACACTTGGTTGTTAGTAGCTAACAATATTATGGGTTAACAAGAGACATGAGCCATAGTAAGCAAATTATGATTTATGTCTCAGGTTTTCTGAGAGAGATGTTTTGTTTCCTGGTAATTTATATAATTCTGACTTTGAAAAAGTCTCATCTTACTTTCTCATTCACAATTCCCAGAATATAAATACACATCTTGTCCTTTTAATTTGTAGAAAAGCATGTAAGAAAAATTCTTACATCTGTTATCTGTGGCATAGGAAGTCTTTCTTCACTTGAATATAACTTCTGGCAAGCTTTTCCTGTAAATGTTTTAATGTGTTCTCAAGAAAGCTACAAACCCTTAGCTGAATATTTGGCCACTTTTCAAAAACACTGTGAGCTTTGATTCTCTGGCTTAGATATTAGGAAAGCCTGTCAATAAAATTAAGTTTTCAGCCTACATAGTAACATAATCTTAGCACTTGGAACATAGAGGCAGGAATTCAAGTTCGGCTGGCTATACAGAGTTCATGGCCAGACAGAAATACATGAGACCCTATCAACAAAATAAAAAACAAAACAGCAACAACAAAAAACATGAAAATAAAAAAATTAAGTCAAATTTAACTTTTAAAAAATAGTGCCCCCTGAGGGACAAGCCTGACTGCATAGGGGTTGATGTCAAAAGTATCCCCTCTCCAGGAAAAAGACATCAGGACGGGTATGGCCCTCATGCCTCACTGGACAACAACAGGGGGACCAGAGCCATTACAAGGTCCCCTTCAATCACTGGAGGTCAGGCCTCTATCCCCACCTTCAAAAGATTAGATTTGCCACAGCCCGTCTATACTTAGAGAAGGGAGGGAATGTCAGGGGCATCCTTGCTTACACACTGAAGGCCTAAAATCAGCCATAGGCCTAAAATCAGCAATAGGCCTGTCATACATATATACTAACACCAAGTCTTGGGTCTCTGTGGATAAACACTGAAACAGATGGCTATAAGCTATGTAAACAGGCAGTTTTTGTGACAATTTACCACCCTGAGTAGTCATAGACCTTGTAAATAGGTAGCCTTGGCAGATATTACCAACTTAGATAAGGACAAGTGAATCATAGGCAGAGTCATAGTGACCTATCCCCCTGAACCCTGAGCCAATACCCTGTTCTGTATTCCCCCTGAACACCCACGCTCCAGTGTCATCCCCTTCCCCATGTCCTGCCTTTTTGTGTTTATAACCCCTGTGTGAATGAGTATAAATTGCAATTTGAAAAAAAATATATATATATATGAATATGAGACATCGCTTTACAGATTTTACCAGGAAAAAAAAATAGTGCCTTTGTATGTTATTCCATTTCCGTATTGCCTACTTGATATAAAAAGAGAATATTTGGGGAGCTGAAGACATGTCTTAGTAGTTAAGAGCACTTGCTGCTCTTGTAAGAGATCCAGCTCAGTTCCCAGCACTCACATGGCAGCTAACAGCTGTAACTCCTGTGTCAGGGGATCTGGCACTCTTTAGACTCTCTTGGGCACCAGGCAAGTACATGTTATACATACATATATGCAGGCAAAACTCTCATGCACATCAAATAAAAATAAATCCTTTTTTTAAAAGAGCCAGTCATAGTAGCACAGGCTTTTAATTCCAGCACTTGGGGAGGCATAAACAGGAGGATTAGTAAATCAAGACCATCTTTGGACACATAACAAGCCTGGTTACATCTGACTGTGTTTTAAAAATAGTAAGTAACCAGATAGTTAGCATAGGAATCTGTGATTTGGGCAGGTTTGGCATGTTCTTTTCAGCATTAGAATGGTTCATAGACTGGTGCTCATGGGTCTGTTTCCTAGGTTAGCCATATGGCTAGGAAGACTAGTGCTTACAGGTCTGTTTCCTAGGCTAGGCTTATGGCTAGGACTGCTAACACTGTGCTATCTCTTCATTTGGTCTTACATGTAACATGACAATTTCAAGTCAGCTATTTTTTTTTAATCTATGAAAAGCATTCAATTTCAGATTAAAATTATAAAGAGCTATCATTTTGGCTCATTGTTTTAGAAAATGGAAGACATATGCCTATGTATTCTAAAGGAATGAAATATTTTCCCTCGTGCCTGCTTCGGCAGAACATATACTAAAAGTGGAACGGTACAGAGAAGATTAGCATGGCTCTTGTGCAAGGATGACATGCAGATTCGTGAAGCATACCATATTTTTTATCCAGCTGCACTTTTCATCTCTTCTTTTTGCTTGCTACATGCCTAATAAACTCACTCATTCCAAGGCAAAATAAAATTTTTTTCTCCTCCCAAATATTTATGATAATATTAACAATCTTTTTAGTTTTTAACCCAGGTTTCAAGAACATTTACAAACAATTGTTTTGGTGGTGATGTCTCAACAAAAAGTCTCTCCATTTATAGTGTCAGTCAAGTAGTGCAAAAAATTACATACACTGTATTTTTGTTAGTGAGCAGGCAGCTAACTTATCTTGGGAGAGATCATATGGTGCTGGGGAAGGGGAAAAGGAATTTGCTTTCCATTCCTGTGTCCATGCAACAAGCAGTAAAACATCAGTTACTCCAGTTTGAACTCGGCTGTGCTTTCTGCCAGCAGAAGATCTGTTTAATGGGTTTTGAAGCTTTGATGAGTATTTGAGCTTAGTGAAGGATTTGAGTTTCTCAGATGAGAACTCCCGTTTGTTGGGCTCCTGTCACCTTCCAGAATACCAGTACACTTCTAATTGGCCGTGTCATTAGCTTTCCACAACCTTACACAGCTGTCATCTCCTGAATATGCTAGCACTGTCCCCGTTAAGTTCCGACTTACCTGCCAGACCTGAGAATTATGATTATATCAAACTGAGCCACAGTGTGAATTTCAAATTTTGTTGGACCACCAGAAGTAAGTTCTCTCCTCACATGTTTTAATCTGAAAATTCTTACATATTTGGTTGCTGTTGTCAGAATGTGGAAAGATCTTCCCAAATTTGGGGCAAGTGTACTATCACGAGCATGATCAAAGACTGTCATAAGAGTTTCAGCTTTGCACATTTCATGGTTCTTTTATTGTAATAAAAACTCTGAACCCTGGCTGTTGCATCTAGACTACTGTTATCACTCCTCATAGCTATCATGGTGTTGGAAGTGTTCCAAGAAATACAGCTACAGCTCAGCTTACATGAGATCTCACTCTACAGAGACCACTGGCTGAGATTCGTAATATCTGGTGCCACACATTTTCTTACTATACCATATGCTGAACAGGTTGCTACATCAGACCCATATGCTTGGGAGTAAATGTCATGTCAGTAATACATGTTCTGATGTCTACTAGAGCTGTCCTCTTCACCCAGTGACTCTGTTCTCAGAGTTTATCATTTGACTTTCCTGCTATTTCTTTCCATATAATAGCCAAAAGAACAAGAAGCCCAAACCTGTCCAAATTCAGAATGAGCCCATGCCAGACGTTATACAGATCAACTATTTGTCTTTCAACTAGCAGTACAATGCCAGTCTCCTCTTTAACTTTTATCTCAGACCTTCCTGAGGCAGAAGGGAACCACCTCCCTGAGGGCACTGGGCATTTGTTAAGCATTGTTTTTTTGTTTTTTTTTAATTTTTATTTATTTAATGTATGAATGCTCTGCTGCATATATATCTACCTGCCTGAAGAGGGCATCAGATCCTCCTATAGATGGTTGTGAGTCACCAAGTGGTTGCTGGGAATTGAACACAGGACCTCTGGAAGAGCAGCTAGTGCTCTTAGCCGCTGAGCCATCTCACCAGCCCTTGTTAAACATTGCTAAACCTTGACATTCTGGTTGGTTGCTGGAACAGGTGGCCATGCTGCCCCTGTGGGAGTGGGAAGACACATGATAGATGATGTCATTGCAGTCCATTGTGATGCTGTGTGCCCCAAGCACAGCCTTCGCTACCAGTTTTCTTATTTGTTACTTCAAGACTTCAAGATATGTGACCAGTGAGAGATGGAGCTGCCTTTTTTTGCCTCATCAGCTCTGTCATTTGTCACTGCTGTTGAATTTTATTATATGGATGATCAGATATTGCCTCCTGTACAAATGAAGATAACTCTATATTCTTAGGCTTAACTGTGTTTCACACTGTGTGGTGGTATTGAGTCAGTGGGACATACTTGATGACCCAGAGACTCAAATAGTTATCTGAGTCTAGGAAGTTTACCACACTGTGATATAGGTATTCTCAGCAGCCAATCTGGATTCAAGGAGAGAAGGGTAGACTTAATCTCTTAATGTGGGAGCATGACAAGTTTTTGTTTTTGTTTTTGTTTTTTTGTTTTGTTTTTTGTTTGTTTGTTTGTTTGTTTTTTTGTTTTTCGAGACAGGGTTTCTCTGTGTAGTTCTGGCTGTCCTGGAACTCACTCTGTAGACCAGGCTGACCTCGAACTCAGAAATCCACCTGTCTCTGCCTCCCAAGTGCTGGGATTAAAGGCGTGCGCCACCACCGCCCGGCTGCATGACAAGATTCTTAGAGAGTATGTGGAACTAGAAATATTATTGGATCCATTATAAAAATATAACCTGCCATAAAGCGAACCTTATTTAGACCTTAGTAAATAAAAAGGTTTGCATTTTCAAAGTTTATTTTTCTAGGATAAAGCAGAATGTTTGTTCAAAATGGCAGAAATGATGTCAGCATCTACAGGCCCATTAAACAGAAGTACAGCTTTTAATAAGAAGTTTTTTATTCACACCTAGAATCCTTGACTTTGTCCTTAGAAAAGAGTTTCATGATTGGCTTGTATGAAGTTGGAATACACTAAGAAATTTTAACATAGAAGTGCTCAGAGAAAGAGTAAAATAGACCCAAGTTTGCCCAAGTACTTTTCAAGGGGAGAATTACACTTAAATATCTTTTAAATAGACACACATTGCTGGGTGTGGTGGTGTACACCTTTAATTTGAGCACTCGAAAGCAGAGCCAGGCAGATCTCTGAGTTTAAGGCCAGCATGGTCTACATAGTGAGTTCAAGGTCAGCCAGAGCTACATTGGGAGAGTCTGTCTTTAAAAAAATAAAATAAAGCCAAATGTCCATGTTTGGTATCATGAAATATCTCAAAGGGTTGCCAAGGAACTTAAGAATGAGATCATAAAGAGATCCCTGTGATAGGATTCAATAGCATTGCAGCTTGACGAAGCAAAACCACCATAGATCACAAGTTGTGCAAAGGAAGATAACTTTTAAAATTATTTTATGTATATGGGTGTTTTGCCTGCATTTATGTTTGTGCACCACATTCATGCCTAGTACCAGTGGATCACCTAGAACCATGATGGCTGTGAGCTGTCATGTGGGTAATGGAAATCTAATCCTGGTACTCTAGAAGAGCAACCCATTACTTCTTAATGCTGAGCCCAATCTCTCCAACCGCATATTCTGGAATTCTTGATTTTCATAGGACAGAGACTCCAACCAGACTCTGGAGTGTGAGATTTTTTTTTTCTCTTCTCATGTCTTCTTAATTTTCTGTCTCTTTCTGTCCTGCATAAGATAACTTTTTATTTTTGTTAACTTCTTTTTTACTAATCAAGAGAACCTTCACCTGTTTTCCCTGAAACACTGTCATAATCACTATAAAAGTAGTACTTAAGGTTGGCATGGTGGTACACACTTCTTTAATCTTTTTATCAATTCTTTGTGAGTTTCACATTATGCACCCCAGTCCGACTCATCTCCCTCATATCCACCCTTCACCCTTGCAGGCTTCCCAACAACTCAAACTCAATAAAAGCCTAGAAAACATCTCTCTGTGGAAGCTGTAGTATGTCACAGTGTGGCCCACAGTATGTCCCTCTGTCCATACATCTTCACTTGCAAATGTTCATTGCAGTGAGTCATTGACCTAGTTTAAGGCCTCTGGCTTCTGTGACACCATTAATACTGGATTCTCACAGACTCCTTCCGGGTATCCTGTTGTTACATCACAGAGCTCCTGCAGCTTTTGGATCAGCAGGACTGCCCCTTCCATGCATCACAACTGTTCACCGATAATATAGGGTGATATTATTTTGGGGTGGGCCAACTCAGAGCCCTAGACCTGCTAGTCAGTGTGCCAGCTCTCTCTTACCTGCACTACCAGGCCAGCTCACCAGCACTGCTCTACTAGGCCTGCAGCTGATGAGAGACAGGGCCAGCTCTCCCAGCTGCTGCAGGTGGTGAGGGGAAGGCATCGCTTCCATACCCACTCCATCTCATGGCAGACAAGTGGTGAGGCCAGGTCTCCTGCACTCTTTCCTCAGGCTGGCTCACCCACACCCACAGCCCCAGGGGCAGCTCTGCTGGTGGCACACATCATTAATCTCAGTACTCCGAAGGCATAGGTAGGTGGATCTCTTGAGTTCCAGGCCTGCCTGTTCTACATAGGGAGTTCACACTAGCCAGAGCTATATAGACCATGTCTCAAAGAAATATCTGTGAAGTGTCACAGCATATTCTGTCTTCATTCCTTTTCAAGGTCAGAGCTTTGCTTTTTTTTTTTAAACTGGGTTACTAAGTCCAAAGATCGCATTCTTTTAAAAGATTCTTTACATGTGTTTAGTGTGGGGTTTTGAGTGTGTTCATCTGTCTGTCATGTGCATATCACTGTGTGTGGAAATCAGAAAACAGCCTGCAGTAGAGTTTCCTCCCTTACACCATGTGGGTTCTGGTGATAGAACTCAGGCTTGACAGCAACCAAATTTGCCTGCTGAGCTCTCTCTCTGGACCTTGTCTTCTATATAAAACCCTCTGTATAATACCCACACAATGAACATTTTTTTCCATTTACGTGTATACATTTATTTTTAAATTTTTATTACATGTATTGTTTGTGTGTGTGCATGGGTGTGGAAGTGAGAGCACAGCTTATAGGAGTTGGATTGGCCCCACATCTATTTCTTTTAAGAATATTTTATCTACATGTAAGTGAAGAGCTTAATCTGGATAAACCTTGTCCTTTGAATCCTCTTAAAAAGAAAATCATTCCCCACCCCACAGCTCTCTTTTTTTTGTTTGTTTGTTTGAAGTTATATGCATGTACTGTGTTCTGATGCTCTCCCCCACCCCCCATTTCTCCACAGCTGTGCATGCCCAAAGGGCTGTCTTTCAGAACACAGGCTGACAATAAAGAGCCTCAGTTCCACTCATTTATAATTACCCGGGAAGATGGTTCTCGCACCTATGGTTTTGTTCTCACTTTTTATGAAGAAGTTACAAGTAAGCAGATCTGTACAGCTATGCAGACACTGTACCAGATGCACAACGCTGAGCAGTACAGCAGTGTGTATGCTTCATCCTCTTGCAGTATGGACTCACTGGCAAGTAGTATCGATGAGGGAGATGCGACCTCTCTTTTGAAACTCCAGCGATACAACTCTTACGACATCAACAGAGACACCTTGTATGTTTCAAAAAGCATATGCTTGATCACACCTCTGCCTTTCATGCAAGCCTGCAAGAAATTCCTCCTCCAACTTCACAAGGCAGTTACCTCACAACAGCCTCCACCCCTGCCACTCGAAAGCTACATCCACAATATTCTCTACGAGGTACCCCTTCCGCCCCCCGGGAGGTCACTGAAATTTTATGGTGTTTATGAACCTGTCATCTGCCAGAGGCCTGGGCCAAATGAACTCCCTCTTTCTGACTACCCTCTTCGAGAGGCCTGTGAGCTCCTGGGACTAGAGAACCTAGTGCAAGTGTTTACCTGTGTTCTTTTAGAAATGCAGATCCTTCTCTACTCACAAGGTAAGTATCCTTTGCACTTAGTTTTTTGAAAACAAGTAATTTTGCCCTGAACTGCTGTGTTTCATTATATAATCAAATAATGATATGAAGAGATTGCCATGAACTGCTATGTTTTGTTATAGAATCAAATAATGATATGAAGCCTCTTCTGTTTCGCATTAAAAAGAATTGGCTTGGATGAGATGGAAAGTTGTAGTTTGTTTCTCTTTGAAGTTTCAGTGGCTGCAGAAATACATTGAGACTTGTTACTGTAAGTGACTAATGGACTTTCTGTTCTTTACAAATTGATAAAGTGTCACATGAAAATTCAAGTGGCATTTGAAAGGAATAAATGAAATGTTTACTCTGGAACTAAAGGCAGACAACTTTGGACCTCTGCTTGTAGGAGTACTTCATGAGTAGAAAGAGGAGATGTGCAGGTAGAGAACAGGTAGGACTGCCCCAGACCTAGCAGCAGATCTGCTAATATTGTGAGTAGTTGTGTTTTTAACCTCTAATCCCAGAAGGCACTATCTTTATTGTATCTTTTATTCCCAACACTAATTTATTTAGGATTCCAGCAAGTTAAATTTTGCTTCACTAATATATTTATGATATAGAGCCTAGACTAGGATGCCTGTTTCCATCTGCATGTGAATTTACATAAGAAATAGAGATGTTGTGTTATAATAGGTACTGAATTGTAGGCCATGTGTGTTGTTGAAACTTTGGAAAATACTATGGCATTTGGATTAGCGTTTTGCTAGCCTGTATTTATGCTGGCAGTCTCTGCTGCTGCTGTCAGCTTCTGTCAGCTTTTTTTTTTTTTTTCCTCACTTTTCTTTTTTATTTTTCTATTTTAAATTATAAGTGAAACTGAGCCAAGCAGGCTATATTTATGCTTCCCCATCTTGTGTGTGTGTGTTGACAGCCCTTTGTGAGTTTTCTCAGTTTGTCCTACATAATGGTTTTTGATAATGTGTTCCAATGTTGTTTTTTGTTATGAGGGAGTTGTCTAATGGCTTACCTAAGTTCTTTATTTTGCATTTGCTCTCATTTTCTTAGTGCTCATCATTACCTGTGTACTGCCTGCTTGTAGCTGAAAAACTTAGTAATCCTGTCCTGCTCTATTGCTCTTCTCCCTGAAGAGACGGTGGGACTGGAGAAGGGCATGTCCACTCTCAGGGTCAGATTTTAAACCACTTCAGACTCTAGATTTTAGGATTAGAAACGTTTAAACAGGATGGAGAAATGTATCAATGGTTGAGAACACCTGTTCTTGCTCTTCTTTCAGAGGACCAGGTTTTGGTTGTCAGCAACCACATTACAGGTCACAACTGCCCATAACTCCAGTTCCAGGAGATCTGGGACCCTCTTTTGATCTCCAAAGTCACTAGGCACACACATGGAGCACAGATACACACGCAAGCAAAACCCTCAAACACATAAAAGAAAATAATCTTTTCTTTTTTCTAATTAGCCCCAAGGAAGGGGGATGATGGGAGGAGTGAGGAGGGGGTGGATGGGTGGGAGAGGTGGGAAGTGGGGGGAAGCACCCTCCCAGAGGCAAAGGGGAGTTGGGAGGGGGTGAAGAACTCTTGGAGGGTGGACTGAGAAGGGGGACAACAATTGGAATGTAAATATATATATATATATATATATATATATATATATAAAATAATCTTTTAAAAAATGTTTAACCAATATTGATTTTAGAAGTCATAAAAGTCTTAGTTTCAAACTTCTGCTCTGTCCCTTATTAACTAGAACTGCTGTAGGTGAGAGACTTAATTTTCAGGAGTATTGCCCCTCATCTCTCTAGGGATTCCTTTGCCACCCACCCATGATTAATTGTAAGAGTTAAGTGAGAAGACCTGTATAGAATTCTTAGACTGTTTTTGATGTTGCTTTTATCCAGGGGGAAACTGAGGCACAGATGTGCTAAGTAATCATAGCACGAGTAAGTACTGTGGTAGCTCCAAAAATTGGGCTTATATCAGTCTCTCTTCTCCAGACAACTTAACCTTGTTGGTAACTGTACTGGATCTACACATAGTCTTTCCTTACCTGTCTCAATGCTTATTAAATTATTTACTCATTCTTCAGCTATATGATAAAGGCATCATACTAAATATTTGTAGAGTATGAAATAAAACTTTGTGTAAATACAGTGGTGGATTTTATGGTGTCTCTCCCCTCAGAGAAGGACATTTAAGTGAACCAATTGAAAGAGACACTGAGCTGACTTGTACTCCTTTGTGATTCTTTGTAAGTGATTCAAAGGATATTCGCTTCTTAATTTCTTATCCTCGATAATATATACTGTAAAATTTAAAGATGCTTCAAGAACCAATTACTGAAAAAATCTAAAGTGAATCTAAGTAGATGGATTTCAATGATGAAAGTGTTCGTTAAACTGACTTGTAATTTTAGTCCACAATTTATTTAGACAGATTCAGTCTGTCATCTAGAGAATAATTACGTTATAGTCTTTCCTCAATGATGATGAACTATAAATTTTTAAGTAGCGAGTGCACTCAGGAAGTCCAGGCTCTTTCCAAGTACCTTAAGTCAAAAGAGGAATCTTCAAAGGTTGCACGAAGCCAGACAGTGTAAGCTGGGAGTATGGTCCTCTTTTCAAAAGAACAGTGGAAATATAAAAGATCAGGAATGTAAACAATATTTCCTATTAAAAGCCTCCAGAACACTTTTGGGCCTTGCTTGCTTACCTCCTTTGGCTCTTCACATAGGAAAGAAGCAGTTACCGCCTCCTACACCACCAACCCTTGTTCCTGGTTCCTATTTGCCTCTGCAGAGCTCCTCTGCCAGCCCTTTGGCACTCTTCTTTACTAGTTGTTTGAATGTAGAATCTACTTGGAGTTTTCTTGAAAATGTTGGGAGTCTTTTTATTACATATTGCTAGCCACGAGGAAGTAGATACAGTTTGTTGGTCATAGTTTATCAATCATAAAAACAAACCTATTTTGGTAATAGCAACTATATTTCCATGACCGGATCCAAAAGGCAGTAGAATTTGACCAGTTTTGACTACTGTTCTACTATTAGATTTTTGCAGGGACTGGGGGTTGCCTTGAAGATACCAGGCAAGTGCTCTACCCGTGAGCATATCTACTATTAGACACTTTATGATAAACATAACGTTAGTATTGTTAAAGTTTTCTTCTTTTGGCATGGGGTCTCATGTAGTCCTGGCTGGCCTTGCGTTCACTATGTATCTGAGGATAACCTCGAACTCCTCTAACTCTTGTTTCTCTACCTCCCAAGGGCTAGGACTACATGCATATGTTACCATGTCTAGTTCTATTTGTGGTATTTTTTAATTCAGTAAAACAGGCTTTTATTTGGGCCAATTGTGATAGATATATGGGACTATCCTATGCAAGCATGCCTTTAATAGTCTAATTTTACACTGCCCAGTCTATCTGACCATATGACCAAGTCATGAGTTAGTAGAGATTCAGATGTAAGAATGTTTACTGTTGTGTCTGCTCTTTTATCACTACTAGAGAAACACCATGTGATTTTTGTCAGGCAGCTGAGCTGATTTGTTTTTAGCTTCCTTATTGTCACAGTGACCTCCTAAACAGGATACATTCGTTTGCTTTGAAGCTGCCATCCATAGACAAAGCAGCCCTTTTTTGGTTGAGAGGTGTCATGTCCAAGTGATAATAGAACCTGACAGATTCTCACACAGTTTTAGCCATTTCTAAAGGAAAAGAAATGTTCTGCAGTATGTGAACCTCTTTGCATTTCTGCACTAATGAGATCCAGTATAAACTACTTCCATTTCATTATGGAACTTTCCCTTCAGAGTTTTTTCTGACCTTATGAGATACCTTGAGTATTTCAGGTTTCAAGTTTATTTGATGTACTTCAACCATGGTAACTGGCTTAATATCCAATTACTAGCTCATAGTTGTTCCTCAAATGGAAATTCTGTAGTTCAGTGGCCCTGTAGAAGTTACCTGGAGGTACAGATATTTAACATAGTCTCCAAAGCTGTTGCACTGAGAATTTGTCCGTATTAACCCTCCAGCTCCTGGTTCATGCTGTTTGCTTATGAAGTCTGACTCATTCATTCCCATTTAGCATGTCCAATTAGTATGGCTTGGAAAGTGAATTTACATAACTTCTGTCCTATAATAGTACAAAGAGAAACCATTCCCGTAAAACATACATATAAACCCTGTTTAAATATTCTAATTCACTTTAGACTTGTACCACGATTCTATGAACCCTAAGTTTGTTTTTTCTTTTTTTAGATATTTATTTACTTATTATTTTTTATTTATACGAGTATACTGTGGCTGCCTTCAGACACATCAGAAGAAGGCATCAGATCCCATTACAGATGGTTGTGAGCCACCATGTGGTTGCCGGGAATTGAACTCAGGACCTCTGCAAGAGCAGTCAGTGCACTTAACCACTGAGCCATCTCTCCAGCCTCCTAAGTTTGTTTTTTCAAGACAGGGTTTCTCTTTGTAGCCCTGGCTGTCCTGGAACTAGCCTCGAGGTCAGGCTGACCTTGAATTCAAAGATTCACCTGCCTCTGTCTCTGGATTAATGACGTACCACCACTATCCAGTGTAACGCTAACATTTAAATATCCTATCATTCTAATTATATCCTATGTTAACTGATTTTAATACCTTAGTATATGAGACAGCTCTGTGAAGTTTGTTCCAGAAAACCCTTTTTCTACCCCTGACCATGTTGTATACACCTTTGAATTAGGAGTTAGGCCTCTTATAAGTGGTTGTGCCAAGTGACACTAGTCCTTTGTCTAGTCATAATCTTGACTGTGGCTCAAGCAGGTTGTAGTTTATGGTGTTTATTTAATTTTTATTTTTTATTTTATGCATATGTTTTTTTCTGCATGTATGTATGTGTACCACATGTGTGCAGTACTCACAGAGGCTAGAAGAGGGTGTCAAATCCTCTGGATTTGTAAGCTGCCTTGTGGGTGCTGGACTCGAGCCCAGGTGCTGTAGAAGTGTAGC